ATTAAATTTTGTCAAGTATGTTATTTTATTAAGAAAACACTTTAAATACAACTGCGAGAGAATAAATATAAAAGTAAATGAATGTGGGTATGATACATAATTTGATTTGGAAAAATAAATAAAAAATGAAGAATGATGTATTATTTTATTGTTAGATTGGGATTTGAAAAGATTAAAAGTTGGAGGAATATTTGATAAATTGAAGAATAAGATTTGAAAAAGAAAAAACATGGTTAAATTTAATTTAAAATTGAATAAATTAAATAGAGAAATAAAAGAAAATGGTCAACAATCAAAAATAATTTGGAGTCCCAATTATAAATATAAAAATTGGGGCCTGAGCTTTTGCTCAAGGTACTCCTCCTAAGGGTCGGCTCTGGGCTTAGAAATATTCATAGTCTAGGAAGGTATAGCGTCTCTAAAGAACATTTTTGTGTGAGACTGGACTAGATGACGGAAGTTGAATATTGTCGGTGGTTGTTATCCTGTGGAATATATGGAACAGACTCAACGTGTTTATCCACGAAGGAAAGATGCAGCCTGCTTGACCGGTGTTTGAAGATGCAGCCAATGCGAGCATTAAACCCATTCCATTGCATCAAAGTGAAATGAATGCCGATGGAGGCTTTTGTGAGAGGGGTGGCGTGTGATCACAAGGCTATCATTGTACAAGTGATCCAGAAAAGATGGCCCTAAAGAAGAGTAGCAGTGGCTTCGGTGATAGAATCAAGGATCGTAAATTCTAATTTGTTGATATTTCACTCAAAACGGCTGTAATCTACTAGTAGTAGACAAAATAATTGCCTGGCCTAAGCTCACTTTATTGCGGTTGTTAACCGTTAGAAGCTGCCATAACGGCTACTGTCTTTAATCCTTTCTTTTATTATTCAAATAAAATATCCCTACTTATTTATTACAATTTCTTAGAAGTTTTATATACCCCTCTTACCATTTTTATTTTATTTTTTTCCTTTTTAATTTATATAATTGAGTTGATATCTTTTGATTCCTCACATTATATTTAATTACTCTTTTATATATAGTGTAAATAAATTATATACAAAATAATAGTACACCAATACAAGTGTGTGAAAAGAAAATATATATACAAAGCATTTTAATCAGTATTATTTATTATTTTTAAAGAAGTGTTTGTGTAAAGAAAATTGTTCCTGGGAACATTATTTTGTAAGAGGACTATTATTTTAAAAAAGTTTATAAAGAATTATTTTTAAAAGTGGATGTTTATGAAATAAAATAAAGTTATATGGATTTTCAGGTTAAAATATGCTTCATGCCCATGTACTCGTTGTACAATTTAAACTTAGTCCTCCTACTTTTATTTGTGAAATTCAATCCATCTATTTTTCAAATTTAAAATTTTATATCTCATTATTAAATTATTTTACCAAAATTTAATTATTATTTTTAAATAAAGATACTAATTTGGCCGTAATTTGACAAGAAAATGACTTTGTAATGGGTTTGAATCTAACAGAAGAGCTTTAATGATGGTAATGATTTGATTTGGATTGTTAAATTAAAAAAAAACATAAAGATTAAATTCCTAGAAATAAAAGTCGAAGGACTAATTTCAAATATGGGAAGAGCACATGAACTTGGAGCATATTTTAACTTATTTTATAGAGTAGTATTTTCTTTTAAATAGTTGTTAGAAGTGTTATTACATAGTAAATTTATAAAACTATTCTTAAAATTAATCAATAACATTTTTTAATATCAATTAAACTAATATTCAGTTTATTATGCTATTAATTTAATAAAAAGTATTAGAGTAAATAAAAATATTAGTCTAATGTTAAAAATGGTTCACTAATAATTTATGAATTTGAGTGTATTTATTATTTTTTGAATAATCTGAGTGATTATAAAATAATATTTATTTAGAATTTTCTTAATATATTGACAATGTATATATTCGAAATTCATAAAAATAATAATTTTTTTCATGGCATAGAATAAGTTAAAAGGTTAAAGGTTGAACAAAATTTAATGACGGTTGAAAAAGGACGACAATTAAAAAAGAAAAAGAATTGTCAAAATAGATAAACAAGACGGCCCGAAGATTTGCTAATGTCAAAACGGGAGACTTCTACAACGCAAAGTGTCACAAAGGCAACCCATTTTTGAGCCTCACATGGATATGTCAACCTGCTCTATATTAATTATTAATTTATTACTTTTTTATTTTGATTACTAAATTATAATCTTATTTTATTTATCCTTTATTAAAATTTAATGACAACATTAATGTGATTATTTTTATTTTGAATATTCTCATAATTTTCTCTTTCTTCGTAATTTTTTACATATTATTGTTTAATAATTTTATTTTAGTAATTGAATTAGACTAAGGTGCCGTTTGGTTGGATGAAATCCCTTGGAATTGGTGGGAATTTGAATTCAATTCCACCACTTTCCCATGTTTGGTTCAAGTTTTTCAAGGGAATTGAAATCCCTGATGGAATTCAATTCTCTTGTTGGAGGAAATTGAAATTTGATCATACTACACTCATCAATCATTTGGTAACTTATTCATATATTGAATAAAAATATTTTTTTATTATTTCGGGTCGAGTTTCTAATTCATATATTCGGGTCGGGTCGGGTGAAACTTTATTTTGGTCGGGTCGGATCGGGTTTTTTTAAGTGTGATATTCGGGTCGGGTCGGGTTTAGGGTGAAAAAAACGGACCGACCCTAAAATATATATAATTCAGATCGGGTCAGATTAAGTCACTGTTTTTATTAAATTAAAATAATTTTTTATTATTTCGGGTCGGGTCGGGTTGAATTTCTAATTCATATATTCGGGTCGGGTCGGATGAAACTTTATTTTGTTAGGATCGGGTTTTTTAAGTGTGATATTCGGGTCGGGGTCGGGTTCGGGTTTAGGGTGAAAAAAACCGGACCGACCCGAAAATATATATAATTCGGGTCGGGTCGGATTAAGTCAATGTTTTTATTAAATAAAAATATTTTTTTATTATTTCAGGTCGGGTCTGTCGGATTTCTAATTCATATATTCGGGTCGGGTCGGATGAAACTTTATTTTGTTTGGGTCAGTTTTTTAAGTGTGCTATTCGGGTCGGGTCGGGTTCGGGTTTAGGGTGAAAAAAACCGGACCGACCCGAAAATATATATAATTTTACCTTATATATTTAGGAATAATTACAATAATACCCCTCTATATATAATTTTTTTCAATTAAGTCAATGTTTTTATTGATTAAAAATAATTTTTTTATTATCTTGAGTCTTGTCAGGCCGAGTTTCTAATTCATATATTAAATAAAAATAGTTTTTGGTATATTTTTTGGTAACTAATTAACATACTCCGATTGGAATGTATCGAAATATTGCTCTATCTTTTGGTAACTTATTAACATATTTTGATTGCGATGATTTTAACTTATAATGTTTATTAGCATGATTTTTATAATTTATTGAAATGAATAATCAATCAATAAAATGAAAATTTAATATTTTTTAATTTTTTATAATATATTACTACATGTAAGTTGTAAAATAAACTAAAAAAAAGCAAAAAAAAAGAAGGGTAATTTTGTCATTTTACATTACTGAAATCAATTTTATCTGACATGTCTGCGAACCAAACATAATATGGAATTGGATTCCAATTCAATTTCCTGCCAACCAAATAGAATATGGAATTGGATTCCAATTCTTACAGATTTCTATTCCTTCACAGATTCCAATTTCCTCATAAACATTCCAGCGAACCAAACGCAAGAGATTTTTTTTCTCTAAAATTTATATGTATATTACACATTATGAAATGAATTTTAGATTAACCCCTCAAAATTTTTTACTCTGTCTTATCTTTATCAAAGTTGTTTGTTGTAATCGAGATTTTGAAGCCATCAATTTATTGTTGAAATTTACGTTGAGCGGTAGATTTAAAAATATTATTAAGGGTGAATATATATATATTGATAACATAATATTTTTATATAAAATGAACATAAATAAATTTTTAGAGCGAACATAATCAATAAAACATAGATGATGATAAAAGGTGGCAATGGAGCGGTGGGATTTCTTTCCTTGCTAAATGGACAAAAGAAGTATGAAGCTCAGGTGAGGCCAAGCACGATTGGATGATGGAGAGAATTGTCAAAAGAAGGTGAACTCAAAGAAGAGAAGTAAACAATGGAGACATTGATCCTGCTACGTGTAAGGGGGTAATCGTTGCTTACCTTTTTCTATAGATTGCCGATAGGCTCACATCGATTAATGTTTATTGATAACTGTGTATTTTATGATACGTTTGACATTCAAACATTTTCCGTTTAGCTTCTTGAAAGTTTAAACTATGTCTCTACTGCAATATTAACAAAGAGTACACCATCATTTGATGGAACTCCCTACGATACATCCACCGATGCTGTTGTTCACGTCAAAGATGGCTTAAAGCACCTCATATATCATGCTGCTGCAAACAAATCTCACTCTGAACTGATGATCTTAAACCCTTAATTACAATAAATTCGATTGATGAGTAAAGAATTTCAAATGTTAATCTAGTATCAATTTCAATATCTTTATTGAAACTTTAACGACGACTAAAAAAACATTCAATGACCAAAATAAAAAAGAAATAATAGATTAGTGACTATTGAAAATGCCGCTAAGCCCAGCATCGCAGAACGTGTGAACAAATCACGAATTTCTCTCCCCGAGTACACACAATTGAAAATGTCCTAAAGTGAATGGCATTTTCGTTAATAAATAATAAATCACTGGGTAATCTTCAGAGTTGGGTATCAAAACGCAACGTTTAATTTCAGTCTACCAAAGCATACCAATAGACGGCGCCTAAGTGTCTAACAACAAAACAAAAGCTACAAAATATAGAAGAAAGTTGAATAGAGTCTAACTAGGGTTAAAATCCCATGTGTTATAGAGTTACCCGTGGTTAGTTCATCCACCTCAATCAAACCTTTCGTTTTAAAAACCTCACCCTCACGAACACCACAAAGAAAAGTATAAAGAAAAGAGGGAACCAAACAGCAACTGCAGGAAAGTGCAAAAGTTTTCTCAAGAAAACTGGCGATATACAGAAAGCGAGACCTTCACTGAAAATAATGGCGTTTTACGAAGACGAAGAACAGGTATGGAAGTGTCCGAGGCATCCTTCGAAGCGCCGCCGTACTGGTATCTGTCCTGTTTGTCTCCGGGACAAACTCGCTTCTCTGTGCCCCGACTGCGCCCACGCGCGTCCTTGCGCATGCATCACAACCCCTTCTTCTTCCTCATCATCCTCCTTCTCTCGATTCTCAATCGCGGCGTCGGGAAACATCTCAAGTGTCGGCGCTGTCGGGAGAGTGTCTAATCTTATTGAAAGCGAGCCCGCGTTTCGACGATCCAGATCCCTCGCGATTCCGTTTCTCAGATCGAAACATGAGAATTTGAGCGAAAGAAACGATTTAGCGGGCAGCAAGAGCAAGACGCCGTCGTTTTGGTCGATATTTAGAGGTAGTAATAAGAGCAGGCGATACGAGAGTGAAGATCATCAAAGGCGGCACGGGGAGACAGAGAGGACGGAGGCGGACGAAGAACGGAGGAAGATGATGAGAAAGTCAAGGTCGGTGGCTGTGACGTCACATTCGGGTATAGGAGATTTGAAATCGTCGCCGTCTACGAAGGGGAAGGGGTGGTATTTCCCGAGTCCAATGAAGGTTTTCAGGCAGACCAGGGTTTCCAAATTAGTTTTCCAAGAACGTTCTCCGTTGTACAGAGGTTGATTTCTTTTAGTCTTCTTCTTCCCTTTAATTTCCTTTGTAATTAGTATAGGATAAATAAGTAAATGTCGAAAATTAACAACAAAAATAAAGCAAACATTTTCAAGTTTCTGCAGTTTAAGGTTGATTGATAGAGACGAAGGAATTTCAAAGTTTTTTGCGGTGTGGTTAATTAATAACTTTTTTGCAGCTCTATAAGTACTTTTCCCGTAGAATTAATTGTAAAATTTGTTCAATGCAACTCTTAAAGCCTATTGATTTTTCCTTTTTAGAAATTAGTCTGTCAATTAATGGACTTCAAAAGCATGATTAGGTTTTATATACAAATTTACATTTGGACCCACGCGATTCAAATTAAAATCATGAGAAAATACTCACCACTTGTACTGTCAGATATCGCATAAAAATCAAAGAGCTACTTTATTCCATGAATTTGCAATGGTGAAATTGGGCTACTTAGCTAGGAAACGATACCAATAATATTCGGTAAAATGAATTCATTTCTATTGGAGATGCAATAAATGACCATCCAGCTCAGTTGGTAGAGCACAAGGTTCTTAATATTGGGGTCGTGGGGATTGAATTCCACGGAGGGTATTTCATAATTCGGAGGTCTCCTATGGAAGCTGCTCTCAACCTGATGTTGGGGGCAGCCTAATATCTTACCTCCCCTTACCCTATTACATATGGGAATAAGTGTTAGCTAAAAAAAAAATTTCTATTGGAGATACAATTATGTTTTTGAAATTTTAAAACATGAATTTATTTTTTTGCTGTAAAAATTAATTCAATTCTACATTCTAATCACTATTAGAATAATTCAAACCTTAAAAATATAATACAACTTATCAGCAACACTAATCTTTATTGTTTATAGCGGCAGGTTGATTGTAGTGATAAATGAGAAATTTTATAGTACGACACCATTAATATATAATTAAAAAATGCGTTATCGGTTTTGTTATTATTTAAATAATAAAACCGGTAAACATTTATCAAAAACATTATTATTTCTACCAAAAACATCAATATTTTTTAACATTCCCAGTAAAGTGCCCAACAATAACAAAATCGATAGAAAAATAACAAAACCGGTAACACCTTTTTTAACCGTATATTAAGACTTCCGCACGTGATCATTTCCCGTAATAAACCCCACATATTATGATTAAATGAAGAAATTGATCTCACAATCATTTAGGGCTCCCCGTAGGAAGTCATCCTTTTATTTAGATTCCCAATTATCAACTTCAACTAATCATATTTATTTCTTTAAACTTTATGTTTTTGAGACTCATTCAAAAGTAAGAAAGCAATGATGAGTTGCATTTTCTATTAACTTTTTTATGAGTTTTTTTTTTTATTGAAAGTCTAAGATGTCAATTTTTTTTCAAACTTATAATGTTTAATTAATTAAGAACATATTATTACAAGTCATCCTTGACTCCTAATTTCTTTGTGAATTATTTATTTTTTCAATTAAAAATATTATGGATTAATGGTACGAATGTCTAGTATATTTTGTTATTTTATCAATATGATGCTTGTCACTCTCTAATTTCAAGGCTAAGAGTCTGAGAAACAATTCATAGCTGTTAAAGTAAAATTTAGACTACAGTAAATCAAATCATAATAAAATTACATTTTAAAGGGCTTAATTGAAACAATTTGGAAGTTCTAGGGCTCAATTGGAAATGAATTATATTAATTGAGGATTTAAATGGATAACTACAAAGTTAAGGGACTCTATTGAAGTGAAATTGGAGAATCTATGGATCAAATTGAACATTTTTAAAGTTAGCAAAATAATATGAGAAAAAACATGGATTGGAGTGAACACAAAATAAAACTATAAGCCAGATTCATGAATCCTGAAGAGTTCGGGGTCACACAAAGAATTCATCTAACCCCTCTATCATGTCATCATTCACATATAAATTGTCATGTTAGTATCGCAAGTCATCACCTTAGTTTAAAAGACTGTTATATCGGTATTATAACGGTTATCGTCAACCAAATAATTAAATCGATAAAAGTAAAGGAGTTCGAAGGATTACATAGAAGATAAAAAGTAATAAGTAATGTGCAACAAAAGCTGGGGCATGACAAACTTTAACCAGAAATGTGCGTGGGATCTTTACCGGCTTAATGTCGCTGATGTTTGCATTAGATATTCAGAATCTGCAATTGGATTTATATACCAAAACCAGCAGTATTCTACACAAATGTATGGCACATGCGATCTGAATATGTCTACATACTTAAAGGAATAAATTAAATACAAGATAAAATAATTGTATAAAGATCTGTTTTAGTCTACGGGTGATCTTTATATTCAACGGCTATGATTGTTTTCTTTTGGGTGGTTGAAGCTTTTGTTTATGTACACGTAGAATATATTTTCCATTTGGGAAAACATGATCTCGTGTGTATTGACTTTAGTTTTCATTCAGCAAAAGGATGCCCTAATTTAATTTATAGGGACTTGACCAAGAAAAACAGCTTTGAATCAGCCCTACAAATGCATTTTCTTTTTTCCATCCATCAGGGTCTTGAGATTTTCAATCATCCTTTTTAATAGAATAAAATGCTATAATTTTTTTATTATCGTTGTATTTGTAAGGGTGAGTAAAACTCAATTATATTTAAATAATGGTCTACTATAAACAAATATCTAAAATATACTCATTTTAACATTTAGGTACCTATTTTTCTGTCAATTCAGATATTTAACGTTACAAATGTTATTGTTTTAAGTGTCCCGACCGTAATAACTGTTAAAAAATTCGTTAACACATATCAAATTTATGATTTTATAAATTTTTTATTTAAAAATATATTTTTTAAAAAATTAAAAAAAACCTCGTGCCTCCCCCTCTCCCCTTAACCCCTGCCTCCTCCTTTCTTCCCCTCAATCCGCTTCCCTCCCTCCTCTCCTCTTCCCTCCCAGTCCTCTTCGTTCCTCTCCCCTTCCCTCGCTGGAAAATTTTCAATCCCTTTCCATCCAATAAATTTAGGGATAGAAATTTAGGATCTTATCTATTAAATTTAGCGTTAAGGATTTAATGATTATGTATTTAGGAGATTCGGATGACCGAAAAAATGATGGTCGGTCAGTGATTGGACGGCAAAAGAGGTGGTGGTCGAAGATGACCGACGACAACTAAAAATAAAGATTAAAATTAGGGATTTTAAGATTTGAGGGTTTTATTTCAATTTTAAAGAAATCTTAGACTTTTTTGTAATTTTAATTTTTTTAAAATCATTATATTTTTAGATATATATATAAACATAATACGAGTCACTTAACATAATATTTTAACCTTAGTTACAACCAATACACTTAAAATGATAACATTTATAAATTTAGACACCTAAATTGAATGAAAAAAGTTTAGACATCTAAATGCGAAAAATGATATAGTTTTGACACTTTTTTTAATTAAGCTTTAAATAATTGATTTTTTAATTCTAAATTATCTGATTATTTTAGTAAACTCGAACTATTGAATAATTTTTAATTTCAATTTGAGTTAACAAAAGATTTAGCAGAGTATTTTTTACTGTTTTACAATTTGATTTCTTTATTCTTTCAATCCATCGTTCATTTTAAGTCATTATTTTTTCTAAATTTGAACTAATGCTCCTAAACCATTTTAGAAGACCTTGTACCTTTAGATTTTTTAAAAAATATATATATATTTTTTAATTTAGTCCTTTGATTTTCTATATATTTTTTTATTTCTTCAATTCATCTTTCATTCTAAGTTAATTTTTAACCAAATTTGATGCACATGTGCCTATATCACTATAAAGTATCAATGTGTTCTTTAGTGTATATGCTAGTCATGAGATCGTGGTGGCTATTTTTAAGTAGAGCTAGTGGTTAGACATTGAATTTTGTGCTAACACATCACGTGGGTCTGTCGAATAACTTGTTTGTAAGAAGTCTTGTCTATACATTTTAGTTGACCAAAAGTCTATGTTTTAGGGGATATATACTAGTTGGAGACTCTGATGGACAAAATGATTTTCAGAGACTGATCATCTATGGATGTATAACAATATTAAATTATAATATTTTTTTATATAACCACTGATATTTTATTTATTACTCGATTAACTTATATCGGGTTTTACATAGGTAAGAACAACCCTCTTAACCTAGTTTGCTCCAATCACAAACATCAAGACTCAAACTTTTGATATTGTTTAATAAATTTAGTGTCTTATCCCATTAGACCAATTGATTGTTATTCTATTAAATTCGAATATTGTAACAAAAAATAAAATTAAAAATTGCCATAATAAATTTTTATAATATCTTATTTGAATTAATCAACTAATAAATCAAATCTGAAAGTTAAATTAACAAACACGTTAAATCAATATTTTGCCAAGTAAATCCAAAATCTTGGAGTGTGGTAAATTTGAAAAACAAAAAACCAATATAAATTAATACTGACATTCTGAGGCTGATGGGAAGAGCGGAGAACTGAACGATGCAGTACTGTAGCAATGTTACCATACCACATCATGGCAACATATCTATAGAAACTATGCAAGCAAAGCAAGCGAGCGTGTGGTGTGTATAAAATCAAGTTGCGGTTACACATAAACCAATACAGCCGAGAGGGATAATTGTCGGGCAATGTACAATGTACAGGCAAGCTTTTACATCAGAACATGCCTTTCCGCACTTGCACCACAAATATTCGAGAATGCCAAAGTTCAAGTGAGTTTAAGATAAGTATATGCCCCTAGGATAAAGTAAGTAAATGGTCATCGCTTATATAATATTGTTTTTGTTAAATTTCTCGATCATTAAAAATTATAAAATAATTTTTTGATTATAAGTACTATTTTGTTAAATCACTCGATTATTAAAAATTATAAAATAATCATTCGACTATTTATATGTTCCAAACTCATTATCTTTCGCTAAAAAATCAATTGACGTCTGAACTAGAAATTAAGATGTCAACAGAAATCATTAAAATATAA